ACCAAATACTGAGAATGTATTACAACAAACCCGACATTAAAATTGATATAATTGTTATTCTTATTATGGAGATGTCAGGTATTTTAGGGTCTCGTAGTCCTGTGGGGGCCATGTGAGTATCGGTTATTATCATGCTCTCAAGTCAGTTCATTTACTCAACAAATAATAATGAAGTGCCAGGTGCAGAGAAGGACATGGTCCCTGTCCTCGTGGAGCTAATGGGGAAACTGACATTAATCAAGGTGCCATGTGAAATTACAACTTACGCAGTGCCAGGAAGACATAAGTACTATGAAGGGAAGAGCAGTGTATCATAAAGGGATTTGACTGATCTGAGAGGCTGGTGGAGGATTCCTGAATTAAGCTATGAAGGAAAATGGGAATTAACTGTGGGGAAAATGAGGGAAAGAAATTCCAGTTAATTGGATGAGCTGGTTAGTGAGATGCGTGGGGATACTCTGATTCTATTCTGGCTGTTTATTCTTCTTGAGAAAGAGTATCTCAAGATTTGACTCTGATCTTCATTCTGCCCTGTAAGTGTCTTGTGACCTTAAGCAAGTAACTCAACCTTTCTGAGCTTATTTACTTACTGTTTTTTAATCTTATTAAAGGCATTGTGTACCTGTTTTTATTTAGAGATAAATAAAACAAATATATATGAAAACATACAGAAATCTAGTCTTTTGATTGATTGTATTAAAATGTATTAGTATAATTTAAAAATAATTACTTTGGAGGGATTTTCCATGGTTGGTTTCTTGGGAATGCAGTTTCAGTAAATTGAGTGTGTTCCTGGACATTTCTTCCCCCAGCCTTTGAGATTAAGATTCACTTCAGTTCCTACATTCTCTGGACGCCTCCCTCCCACGTGCGGGGGAGCAGGCGTGGATGTGGTGGGTTCCGGGCTGCTCATGTGCGCGCCGTAGTGAAGCTATGGGAGGAACTGGGAAGCCTTCTTGAGGGAGGTGGAGTTTGACCTGGCATCACCGACAGGTTGGAGAAGAAACTCCACCCGTGCAGAGGAAAGCAGAGCAGAGGCGTACAGCCAGCAAGGCGTAGGGAGTGGCTGGAATTCAGGTGCATGTGTGTGGATGAGTGGCATTGGCTGGGGAGAAGGCTGTTCTCTGGGAAGGGGCCGCCTCTCCAGCTCCCGCTCCTCTCAGCAGCTGTGCTCAGTTCTTTTGGACTCTGGTCTTGCCGGGGCGCCATGCTTTCTCTCAGTCTGAGGCCTTGCTTCCATTTAAATGCCACCAGAGGGGTGAGTGACAGTGGGGACCGAGAAAGAATGGTCAGTGAAGTAAGAGAACGAGAACATAAAGTCAGCAGTGCTGAGTGCAGAGGGTTGTAAGGAGTTTATTAGCTGTGATGCTGCAGAGCTTGAATAAAATGAAGCCCACGAAAAAGGCGATGATTTTTGTCGATTTGATAGTGAGTGGAGAGAATGAGAGAGGTAGCAAGGAGGTAGATAATTCTTTCAAGAATTTTGTGGTAAATACGGAGTGCTAGTAAAAATGATAGTGAAATGACTGATCAAGTCCAAGTTGAGAAGAGAAATCTCTGGGACCTGATGACTGTGGGTGTGTTAGTTACCTATCGCTGTGGTGACAAATCACCACAAACTTAGTGACTTAGAATAGGATGCGGTTGTCACCTGATGCTGTGGGTCAGGGGTTCAGACAGGGCTTTGTTAGGTCTGCTGCTTCAGGGCCCCACAAGCCTGCAGGCGTCGGTTGGGCTCGGTTTCACTTGAAGGCTCGACTGGGGAGGGAGCCTTGGCCAAGCTCCCATAGACGAAGGTCTCCGCCTTGTGTGCTGCTGGCCACCCTCACTTCCTTGCCACGTGGGCTTCTCCATCGTGGCCTCATCAGAGCCTGCAGGGAAGTCCGCCAGCAAGACAGAAGTGTCATCAGTGTCTCCTGGTCACGGAAGTGAGGTCTCCTCACCTGTGCCATGTTCTGTTGTTAGGAGCAAGTCACTCGCTCTGGCGTGCTCTTAAGGGGAGGGCGTCACGCAAAGCTGCATGCTGACTCAGAGCCGGTGATCACAGGTAGCCCGCCATGGAGCTTGTCCACAAGTAAGGAGGGATGCTGGCACTAGAAGGCACTAGAACAGTTCTTCTGAGAGAGGCCCCAGGGGCTGCAGATGGCATGATGGGAACTTTTAGACAGGGAAATTTGGGGGGTGGAGTTGCAGGGGAGGTTCAGATATGGCCCCGTCGGTGTTGGTGACCTTACTCAGGAAGCCTTCCCTGCCGCCTCCACCCCAACTCCACCCCAACGAGGGGGACAGGTGCCTCTCCTGTGAGACGAGTTAACAGGCTGTAGTAATTGCCACTGCTAAGCTCTCTGTGTTGCTGAAGCTGAATGATTTACCAGCACATTCCTGGCTAGCGAAGGTGGCCGTACTGCATGCCCTAGGAGGGTGTAGAGGGTCAAGTAAGGTAATTCACATGGAAGTATCTTACAGGAAGTAAAGTGATATGCAGGCAAATGGTGTTAACTGTGCTCCTTTGCTCATGTTCGGTAGAACGTGTGGACGTTGCTTCCATGTCCCTTGTTAACTTGGGTTCACTGTGTTGTACTGAGTTAGTGAACCGGCCCTTATCTAATACTGTGGCATTTTCAGGGCCTTTGAGTAGAGTGTTTGCTTTCATGATAAGTGACTCCAAGCTGCTGTCCCTTTCAAGTACTTTTATCCAGTTTTTATTGTTTCTTTTTTTTTTCTTTTTTTAATCTGTCTTTGCTATTCCTTAACACTCCTTTGCTTCTCCTTCCCTGTCACTTTCTAGCTATTCTTTTCCCTCGGATTTGTTGCTTCTGATCTTCTCTGGGCTTGGCAACCTGATAATTAAGCTCATTAGAACTGTGAGCTGTTCAGTAGTAATCAAGCCAGGAACTCGGGTTGGAGCCCTCTCCCCAGTGACGTGTGTGAGCTTTTGTGGGTGGACTTTGTGAAGACCTCCTTGGCCGCAGAGCTCATCCTGGCTTCCGTGCTGGTTCTGGCTGTGCGTGGATTAGGTGCGGTTCCTGTGGAGCCGAGTTCCACTTGGGGAGCGTGGCTGCCATTCTCTCTGTGCCTGCCTCATTGCTCTGTTGGGAGAGTCAGTGCTGTGCTCTCCTTTAGCTTTGATGAGCTTTAAGTTTTTTGGGCAGTAGCAAGTAGTGCGGTAGGTGATGGGTAGTCAGTCTGTGGTTCGTGGACCAAAAAGTGTTAGACAAGCAAGGGAAATTTTCCCCCGGCTCGACACCTGGCATGTGCAGGAGGTCCGTGCTTGCCTGCCTTCGGACGGGAGTCCAGCCCAATCACTAGACAGCCTTTGAGGCTCCTCAGTGTCTTCTTGATGCCGGGCTTCTCTGGCAGAGCAGTGGGGGTACTTTACCTGCCCAGACGTCTGTGTCGTTCCCTCCAGGAAGCATGGGCTCCTGGAGAGGGCCTGTGTTCTTGGGGAAGGGGCACAGGGGTTTGGGGGGCCTGCTCCTTCCTGGCCATGCCCTTGGCAAGAGTCTGTCCCCATGTGTCTTGATGTCTCCTTTTCCAGGGTTCGCATGAAGGGTGCCCTGCTCCCCGCGGGACCACAGCAGGAGTTTCTGTGGGCAAGTGCTTGTGGCGGTGCATGACATCAGGCGCAGCGCCTCTTCGTTGGGTTGGTTTCATTGGTGTTTCGCTCGCTCTGTCTTTGAGGAATTAAAGGCATTATTGTCATCAGTGCTAGTGACGAAAAGTGCCATAAAACAATGACACTTTAAATTCTTTGTGGCTTTTTCCTGAATATGCCCTACTGGAATGTATTTGTACAAATGTGGACATTTAATAAGTGCTCTTTGATTATTTTCAGAATATTGAGTTCTGGTTTTGTAGCCAAATTAAATTTATGAAAGTCCTGATGATACTGTGATTCATATCTAGAAAGAATAATTTTTTTTCATTCTGAAATCACTTTAAGTGTGCTTTACCTGAATCTGGTAATAGTGAATCAATTAATGTGATTTCTCAGGTCATAAATCAGGCTTGAAATATTGTAGCATTAATTCCTCTGTAAGCCCCTTGGAACTTCAGCAGTTTCGTGGTCTGTTTTAGCTACTTGTTTGCTTTTGAACTCAATTCTAGGTGTTGAACTCAATTTGAGAGCCTAAAATGGTTTGTGCCCTAAATACCTTAGAGGCTACTCCTTGCCTTTTTTACTAGCTGGCCTTCATAGTGTGAAGTCGGCCACCTCTCGGACTTTTCCCTTTCAACTTGGGCATACGCTGTGATTTTTGTCTTTATCCTGTAGGAATGTTGCAAGGGTTTTTATAGTAGCACTTACGGTATATTTTAAACATCTTGAAAAGAGGTAATATGTGAGCAGAACATATTTTAGTACTGTATCACATATTTTTCCCCCCACTAACCTTTTGTGGTTCAGAAAAAACGATACAGTTTCTGTTCAGGAGTGCATGCTGGTCTTCCCAGTTCAGAGGTTATTAGCCCCGTTCTGTGGAGGGTCTCCAGGGCGTAGCCTGGGGCGGAGCCTGGGCCCCTTCTGGTCTGGCAGGCCTGTATTCTCACCACAAAGATGAGTGCGTTTTGTCAGTATCTGTGAGCACTGGTGAGTATTTTTATGCACTTAGTTTTTAGTGGGTCTAAGTTAGCCTTTGTCCTATTGCTCAGTTGTTTAGGGACCAGAGGATGGGTGCCAGGCAACTTGGGGCGGCCTTCAGTGAGGGAGAGGGGTTCTTAAGATGGCTGATGGCCTTCAGCGAATCTCACCGTCGTCACCAAGGCAAGCAATGGGCCAGTCTGCTTTCTTTCCATGCACTTCTGGGAATGTCGTGAATTTAAAAAATACTTGAGCTTCTATTGTTAGCCAGCCATTAAGTACCTGAGATACCAGAACAGAAAGCCAGACATCTCTTTAAGGATGCCCTTGTTATAGTCTTCTTTTGACTATGTTAGAAAAATACTGTATTGGAGAAGAAAAACTATTAGATTGGTTTTAGGTTCAGAATGGCTTTAGGAATTAGAGGTGGAGTTGTAGGTTAACAGAAGACATTTCTGAAAGGAATGACTTGTCTGTAATTAAAAAACAACAACAATGACAAATGGCACTGTGGCAGAGACTGCCAGCTGATTGTGAACTCCATCTTCTCTTCCTGGGCACGGGGCCAGACTGCATTTCCCAGCCTCCCTTGCGATTAGGTGTGGCTCTGTGGCCACCTTTGAACCAGCGGAGCAGGGAGCTGAGAAGTGGGCCACTTCCGGGCCTGGCCTGTAAAACCCTCCAGGCACAGTTGTCCGTGCCCTTCCCCTCCCTGCTGGCCAGTGCAGAGGTCCCGGTGACCCAGGAGGGCTCCTGCCGTGGGACGGAGGGAGTGCCTGCGCCCGAGCTGCTGTCCAGAGGAGGGCTCGCTGATGGACAGGCACACCTGTCTGGGACTCTGCACAAGCAAGGAGTAAATATTGATGGTATTTGAGCCATGAGATAGTTTGTTCCGAGTCAGCCTCCCCCCCATCCAGGCATGACTCCTGGACTGCTCCACAAGACTGGCGGGTGCAGTGGGGGGGCGCAGGGTCTCGGGCCCTGCTCAGGTTTGGTGGTGTGTGTGTGTCACGTAATGTGTACTGACCAGTGAATTTTAAGAATCAGTGTACGTCATGGTGAAGTTTATGAGGAAGTTGTTTTCAACGCATCACTTCTAATTAATGCAAGTAGTTTACTGCGTTCAGTGTGGCCTCTCCCCGTCTTTGATTTAATAAGCCCTGTGCGTCCTCAGCGAGCTTTAAAAGGACTCTGTGGAGACTTAAATGTTCTCAGTCCTTATTTCAAAGCACTGTAAATACAGTTTTCATCATGCTACTTCTGTGTTCAAAAGCCTGTAATCACTTCTTATTGCCTAGCATTTTGTTTCATTTATTCCAACACCCAAAGACTATATACGTACATAAGGAATGTGGCTGTGTGCAGCATCCTGAAGGGAGGCGGAAATGAGCGAAACAGTCCGAGTCTCCGAAGGCCTTGTGCTGGTGCCCCCGCAGCCTGCGGAGTTCCGTGCTGCGGCTCTTCCTCCTCCCCTTGTGGTAGGGTTTCCTCTGACTCGATATGTACGTTCTGAAGGCAGGCGATCTGTTTTATAGAGCGTCTGTTTTTCCCCTCTTGGCCACTTCCAGAGCCACTGGACACTGTAATAATGAGCCATCCCTATAGTTTCTTTTAATTATCTTGCTTGGACATTCTGGTATAGTTTTATATTATAGTTTGTGTTAACAGACAGAAGTACTTACTTCAGCTGTTAGGAATTCATGGAATTGTGCAGACAAGGAATGATAGGACTGAAAGCATCTTTTTGTGTATTTATTTTATAAGAGAAAGTTTACTTAGAAAGTTACAGAGGCAAAAGAAGGGCCCAGCAGGGTCTTTTTTAGGTCATATTCCTGATCTTCCAGATCATCTAGTTCCTGACACTCAAGGAGTGACTCCACATCGAGCGTGGGGCACGGTGCAGGCCCCACTGAGACCTGTGAGTCAGAACTTGCTTCTCAGCCAGAGCCTCAGGTGACGCGCATGCGCCCTGGAGGTAGAGCTGCACTGCTTGACCTCTCAGTGTTCCAGGCATGCAGCCCCTCCCCTGACACGGATGTACATTCAGAGGCAGGGTTGCCCCTACCTGGTGTTTCACCTGTGCACACCGCCCCATTTTCTTTCCTTCACGGCCTTTGTCTCCCTACTCCCCCTCCCCCCCGTGTGCACCCTATAATGGTAGGAAGGACTTTTGTCTGTCTTGCTGACTGCTGGGTCCCAGCTCCTAGGACAGTGTCTGGCACATGTTAGGTACTTGTTGCTGTTTGAAGAACAGGGGGAAGGCGGAAGGGGTTATAATAAGGAGGCATGTGTCTTATGAGAGGCTACTCAGATGGCACTGGCTGTGGACAGTGGGAGGAAGGCGCCTGAAGGGCCAGAGGTTGGAGTTGAGGTCAGAGGCAGCCAGGGAGGCCTGGGAAGGCTTGAACCAGCCCTCCCCGACATCGATCCTGTGCTTTTCCCCTCCGCATGGTTCCGTGGGCAGAGAGGTCATCCGTTTGCCCAGACTCCTTGGCCAGGCCAGTGGAGCTGGGGTGCAGGACCCCAGCTCTCCAGAATCTTGGCTGCCGGTGGCCTCCTCTCCCTCTGGGGATCAGGTCTCAAGGGGTCCAGAGGAAGGACCTGCCAGAGAGTCTGGCCCCTGGGCATTTGACACAAGGTAGCCATTTCTTATGTGAGTTGCCTTGTGGTTTTTGGCTTATCTGTTTTGAGAGCCTGTTTTTTTCTGAGGATAGAATGACATTTGATTTCACTCTCAACTTGTCTGAGTTTCCATCCTCATTAAATTAAACCATTAAGACTATTTATTATGCCAGTGCTGTGGCAAGATCATGGTTGGTTGGTTGGTTGGTTGTGATATTTGTTACATGTTATTTTGAGTGTTTAATCCTTCTGATTTGTTACTTGGTATATTTTACCATTGATTTACCTATCATCAGACTTTGAAGTCTGGTGTAATAGTCCTTGTTTCCCCCCAAAGCCCTTAATTAGTGTGTACTGCTGCACATTAGTAATTTGTAAAACTTTGATGTTAATGCCATTAAGATGTCTTGATAAGTGGTAAACTTATGCTACTTTTTTTTTTTTGGGGTAATAGGAAACCAGAAAATGTTAAGCTTTGGATGTAAGACATTCTTTTTAACATCGTGAAATTTCAAGTTTCAATTCAGAAGACACATTAAGATGAGATGTTACATTAATGCGGTTAGAAAGCTGTTGCTGGCAACGCAAGAAAGCTCTTGTGTATGTTATGTGTTACGTGAAGTCAGTACTGCTGGCTTCACATGAACCAGTTTTCATAATGTGCTTCCATCATTTCACGCTCATCATCGTGGGAAGAAATGTGTTGAACTTCCCAAAGGGTGCGTCAATTCTGAGGTTTGTCCATAGTTCTCAGGTTGTTACAGATGCTGCCACAGGTTGCCAATCAGTTGTTACCATTATTGATTAAGTTAAATGGAAGGCCAGTAAAAGTCTTGGAACAAGAACTTTCCAGAAACAGAAAATAAGTAATTAGGATACTTATCCTGGTAGCTAGGAGTCACATTGTGGAGAAAGACTTATTTATGGTGAAGCATTTGATCATGGATATAAGGAGGAAAGTTAAAAATTCAGGGAAGTCACCGATAGATTTCAGCTCTTTTTGGTACAAAAAACTTAGGCCATCCTTAGTTTGTTCTTAGAAAATGTTAACATTGTTGAAGATTATCCTTACTGACCAGGGTTACATTTTGCATTGATGCGGTACTTTGGGATTTAAAGCACCATTGTATGTGTGCTTTATCCCATTGAGTTCCTCCCAGCAGCCCTAGGACTTAGGAGATGAGGGAGTACAGCGGGAAAATTACTTTCTCAAGGACAGCTAGTAAGTGAGAGAAGTGAGCTGTTTATATTGTAAAGATAAAATGTTGACGTGGTTGTCAGACTTTCTAAACAATCCTTGGATTTCTAATATAAATACGTGGTTGATAATGCAGGATGAGTAATCTAAAAATTTATTTAACACTGTAACCAAAATAAAAGGATGTTCTTAGGACCGAAAATAATTGGCCAGCAAGACTCACAGAAAACTCCCTTTTTTTAAAGTTACCACTGTGTAGGTTTTTTGTGTGAAAACTTTAATTTTATCTACACGAAGCAGCCCAGGAGCAGACACCTGTCCTTGGGCTGCTTCCTGACCCCTGCACCTGCTGTGCTGTTTGTTGGCTGCACTCGGTGGAGTGCTGTTGGGTCAGTCGATCCTTTTGAGTGAGGTGGGTGTGGGGTTACTGTTGGGAGATGGTTAATAATGTCGCTGAATGTGGGCTGAGCTACAAAATGAATATGGCGTTGGTTCTGCTCAGTAAAAATGTACTGTCTACACACACATGCTCCCCGTCAATCTTTTCACACACAGTACATGTTCCCAGCATATATCTTTCTTCACACACATAGTTTTTAAATTTTGCAGCACTCAAACCTGCAGGAAAACTGTGTGGTCCAAAGACCTTTTCCCTTCTTGAACTGTGTGAGAATAAGTTGCCAATATGTTTCACCCCCCCCACCTCAGAATTTTTGTATTTCCTACCAACCAGAACATTCTTCTCCATAACCACAAAACAGTAGTCAAAATCAGGAAGCTCACACTGAGACATTCCCACCATCTGACCCCCAGATGCTGCTCCCGCCGTGCCGGTCGGCCCAGTGGTAACATCTGTAGAGAGAGCGCCGGCCAGGCCCCTGGGCCACACTCGATTGTCTCTTCCATCTCCTGTAATGCACAACATCCTCTCAGTCTTTGATTCGCATGACCTTGACACTCTGCAAGAGCACAGGCCAGTCATTTTGTAGACTGTTCTCCTTTGGGGTTTGATCCAGGTTGTACGTCTTTGGCAGGAAGACCACAGAAGAGCCAGTGTATATCTTTTTCAAAGATTAGTTTTACATTTTATTTTCTGTTTCCTTAGAGCGTTTCCCAAAGTGTATTCTGCGGAACTAGCACCTACTGTGTTCTCAACACCGTGCCACCTCTAGAAGGTAGGATTCGAAAAGCTTTTGACTTACAGGAAGGGGTGGGCTTGGCAGTGAGTGTCTCCGTCACTGTAGTGCAGGGAATGGCCCGTGGCCGGGATTTAGAAGACCTGGGTTCTGCCTTTAACTTGCTGTGTGATCTTAGATGAGTTACTTAATCCTTCTGAGGGTAGCAAAGTAATACTCCCCTCATAACCTTTCCGTGAGGATTAAAACGGCAAAGGTTTAACCACATGGGAAAATCAAAGCGCTCTGCAAATGTTAGATTCCAAAACAACGATTCTATAATTCTGGTGTCAAATTCCAGATGACTTAGAGTAGGAGTCATGTGGGAAAAGCCACAGGGCATGTGTGAATCTGGGCATTTGAACCATTTACTAGCTGTGGATTTTGGGCAAGTTAATATGACCCTCCGGCTCTTTACTCATAAAATGGGGGTAGTTACGCCCTGATGGGATCTTGTGAGGATTAAATGAGAGAGTGCCACGCATACTCCTTTCTGGGTGCCTGACACAGAGTCCCACAGATGTCTGCGCCCTCAGAAGTTTATTTAGTGGGTCACAGGTAGCTCCGATGGACACGGAGTGGACCGAAGCAGAAGAGGCCCCTGAATCCAAGTGGAAGTACTTGATCACAAGGCTCCCATGCTCACCCACCTATTTTCAGACCAAAAATGTAAATGCAGATGAGTAGAAGTTTATTGAACATGGGGTATGAGTTGACCTAAACCTGGGCCAGAGATTTGATAATACGATTGACAGAAAAAAGGGGTAAATTTGGGCCACCTAAAAAACAGAAAAGGTAAGATTTGTTGATCACACACTCTTAAGAGGAAAGGGGTGGTTAAACAGCAAAAGTAGTTATGTTTTTCTATTAAAAACTTATTTTTTTTAAAAGATTTTATTTATTTATTTTTAGAGAGAAGAGAAGAGAAGGAGAAAGAGAGGGAAAGAAACATCAGTGTGTGGTTGCCTCTCATGTGCCCCCTACTGGGGATCTGGCCTGCAACCCAGGCATGTTCCCTGACTGGGAATCGAACTGGTGACCCTTTGGTTCCCAGCCCGCGCTTAATCCACTGAGCTACACCTGCCAGGGCATTTTTTTTTGTTTGTTTTTTTAACTTTAAATGTCTTTTGGATACTTACAACTGAGATTAACTCATTTTGGAGAATCTCTTTGGAAAAGAATAAAGAGAAAGCATAGCAATGCTGACACATCGCTGGTGCCTAATTGATATTTGTTTTGGATGAGTAGCGGGTGGAAGGCCTCGCAGTAGCGGTGCAGTGTTAGCTGCTGTGCGCGCTGTGCTGACTTGAGGAGAACAGTGTGTGGGGATGTTTTCCTGAATCGGTTCCTATCCCACTAATTAAATCGAAGCACATAATAATTAGAGCTAAACAGAAAATTGTAGAGCTCCCTTTTAATTTTACCACTCCAAGTTGTTGATCAAATACATTCCCAATAAGATCCAGCAGTTTGATACACTGTTACACTGACGACTTTTGAGCAGTTTGGTTGAGACATTCATCATAATCAACTCGACTGAGTAACAGTGTTTGTAATTATTCACAGAACCAAAATTATTTAATTTTTACTAATTATGACTTAAAATAAAACAGTGCAGCATGTTCAGGTTAGAGTTAATATAGTTACAATTCACTTTGCAAAAGTCAACAGTGTGTTGCAAGGAAAAGGTCAGACATTTCTCTGGGTTTAAATAAAGGATTTGGCTATGTGAATCTCAATTTTTAGAAGTAAAACAGGAAAACAAGAATTTTACTTTTTGCCTGATTAAGCGAATGAGCATTTTTGTATGTTTTGGAAAGTTTTAGTTAAATTATACTGTGTGTCGGAAATTATTATTTGGAAAATATTTGAGGGTTGACTGAAAAGGATGGCTCATTCTCTAGAATTATAGCTGTCGGCCAAGCAAATCATCTGTCGACTTCAGGAGCTTCACTACGTTATTTTTATTGTGGAGGAGGTGAGGAAACAATTTTCTGAAGTCACATATCACACATGAATGTTTGCTAGATGATGATAATGAAGTGTCTCACTGGGCTCGGTTGGCACTTCTGTCTCGCAGTGCAGAGTGTCCCCGTCTGCATCCAGTGCTGGGGTGCGGCCGAAGGCGGTGCAGCACGCACGCACCTCCGCTGCGCACTCAGGGCGCTGTCCGGCCGGGTGCACGCGTCTCTCTCCTTGTTATGTCATGTGTAGTTTTCCCCAAACAGGAAAAAGCAGCTCTTCATTAAAAAGCGCAGCTTTGCACAGCACGGCCCTGTGAGCAGTGCTTTAAAGCAAAATCACTTTTTATCCCACTTCTAACTGGAAAAACTGAAATTTGAAAATAAGACTTTTAACATTTTTGCCTATTTGAGTTCCTAATATTCTTTCTCCCAGTATTAAAATTGCCATCTTCATAATGCACAGTGGAAAAATTACCTGTTGTTATGTTTCTTCAAAACATCCAATTAATATGCAGCATTATCCTAAAATTCTGGGAATAGCACAGTTTAAAACCTGATTAAGGGGAGCTCATTGGCCTGTCACACCCCCGTTCCTTTCGAACCCAGGGCCGAACATCCCGTAAGGCGCTGCATTTAGAGCCTTGATTGAGGAGGTGCCCGCACGGCCCTTCTCCTCCTTCCTCTTCGAGAGCCTTCGGGCGGTTCCTGCGCCCGATTCCACATCAGAGTTGGCGACGGAAGGCTCTTCTGCAGCAGGGACCCGTGCTGCTGAGAAGAGTTCTTGGTCCCTCTCGCTCCCTCTCCACATGTGTGTGCACACACGTGTACACACAGGTAGACACTCCTGTACGCAGATGGATACACTTCATATGTTACAGACACAGCGGGTTCCTCAAAGAGGCTGAAAGGACAGATAATTTACATCAGGTTGTGACTAGAACCTGAGAAGCTTTAATATTCTCTTGCTATTGTTCAAAATTACATTTTAAGTGCTTTTTCTTAGTGATATGACTACAATTCAGGATGTGCCATTGATTGAGTACTTAGCAGAGCACTGCTTTCATAAAAGGCACCCTGTCATTGGTGACTGTTCGAATTGAGTGTAGATTTAGAATTTCTCCTCTGCTTTCAGAATTGTACACATCATGGGAGATTTTAAAAATAAGAATAAGACCACTGCAGGGGCAGAGAGAAGGGAAGGGAGGGAAAGGCTCAGGTGAGCTGGTGTTCTGCCCTTGGAGTTCGATGGGCCGCGGTCCCTCCGTCGGGGTGGAGTGCAGGGAGCGAGCATAAGCACACGCAGTTACCAAGGCTTTATCGGCTGCAAGTAACACAGAACTCTCTGTGAACTTCTCTTTGTTGAACACTCTTTTAGGTTCCATAGCAAGATTTTTTAAAAAGTTTAATTTGATTTTACTATTAAATTAAAATTATGGATTCTTAAAAGTAGTCAGTTCTGAAGTTTTTCAAGTTTTATGCCGCTTGTAGAAATAGAGGATGGGCATTATAATTCAGTTGGTTGTGTAGTTCACGGACCAAGAGGTTTAGTGTGCTAAAACTCGATCCTAAGTTCTTCCCTGTAAAATATTTCCATATGATGTAGTAAATTTTTTTAGACTTTATTTCTATGCCCAATATTTTCCTGTTAAGGTCTTTTCCTTGAGAAGAAATGTATAAATCAGATGGAAAATGTTTGGAGAAGATTTTTATTGTGATTGTAGAAAATATTTTTTAGTCTTTTATGCTTTTCACGTGTTCTAAAAAGAGACCATGCTAAGCCACGTTATAGTAAATGACTGGAAAAATAATGATGTTGTAGTTCACTTTTAACATTGTTAATACCTGATGCCATGTAAGGCCGTTTAATTGGTAGATAGGTAGTCATTGAATGACAGTCAGTTCTGTAGAGATTTATGCCTGGAGGAGAATTAGGAAAACTGAAGATATTAAGTAACTTACCCAAGGTCACACAGTTATTAAGTAGCAGAACTGGGCCTGAACCCTGAACTTTGACCTGGAGTGCGGTGTTTCTGCTCTATCTTGTTAATATGAGAATAAGCTGTTTCAACTGTGACTTTCTGGGGCAGATTCAGGGTTTAGTGTTTAATGCACTGCTCCTTAGTATCTGGTTACGCACCGCGCCCTTTGGACATTGGGGCTTCCATTTAGCAGTTAAAAAATTGGTGTGGGTAATTTGAAAGTTGGAGCTAAAGGTGCCAAAACTGTCAAGAAATTTCGAGCCAGGCAAAGGGACTTTGTTACAGGAATGAAATAGGAAATGATGTGTAAAGAAATAAACAAATGACGTGATGAAGGAAACTGTCTCTTCCCGCAGGTCTCAGGGAGGCCGATTATCAGGTAGGGTGACATGCCCTCTAGTCTGGAAGTGTAATGGGTTTTTCTTCCACTAGTTTAGCAGTTATGTTTCGATGAGATACATTAATGATACAGATATGCATATGTAAATCAAGTTAATTGGAGTGGTATATTTTTTCATTTAGGCTAGAAAGGCCAGCCTCTGGGTTACCTAGCTAACTGGGGTTTTGAACTCCTTGTATCTATAAGATTTGTAATTTGCTTTTGAAAGGGTAAGTCTCATTTGTATTCTAGGGGATGAAGTAGTATTAGTTTATGAATAAAATAGTCCCATTTTATTAGAATTCTTCTTCCCTGAAAACAGCTTAAAACTTTTCAACTGGTTAATAGAAGATTTTGGGGTTTTGTGAGGTTAAATCATTTTGCAATTTTGATGGTCTTCATGGAAACCTGGTGCAAGAACTTTGAAAAGTAACGTTCTGGTCACGGGCAGCTGCTGGGGGTGGCCCTGCTCACCAGCTTGGCAGGGAGCGAAAGCTCGGTCTGTTGTAGTCTGTCGGTCAGACCCCTGCCGCCACCCGTCCGATGAGCGTGCAGCGAGTGCGGTGACCAAGACGTGACGGGAGCTTCTGGGCTCTCAGGGACTGACCTGAGCGGCCGTGTCTGATCTTGCCAGTATACTTAACAGGAGATTTTCTCTACTATTTTCTCTGAATTTATTGTTTTCTTCTTTATAGATGATCATGGGAACAGCAATAGTAGTCATGTAAAAATCTTTTTACCGAAAAAGCTGCTTGAATGTCTGCCGAAATGTTCAAGTTTACCCAAAGAGAGGCACCGTTGGAACACTAATGAGGTAGATAAATTTCTATTTTTAGGGGTATGATTTCTTGAAGGGCAAACTTGTCAGGTTACTTTGCATAGTACTACTTTATATTAGCTTTTAATTTGAAATAACTAAACTAGGAAATTGTAAACGAGAAGAGTATTTAATCTGGATTTGACAGAAGCCAACACGGTTCTCGAACGGTCTCTGACCTGCGTGTTTTGAGCGCTGTGACACGTGCACGCTGAGTGACGTGCTGAGGGAGCGCAAGCTCCTCTGTGTGGGTTCCCCGTGTTCAGTGTCTTGCCTTTGGTGGCTGACTCTGCCTGCATCTCCCCCGAACCTCAGGGCTTTGTTGTCACAGGCAGGTGAGACAGCCCAGCGCCCACGGGACGCGCGGTGTCTTGGTGAGGCCAAGTTCCTCTAGAGTGGGGACGGGCAGGCTTCTCTGATGAAGCAGGACGCGTGGAGGTTAACCAACCGGTTTACCGAAACGGCAGGACTTGTGATTGAGAATGAGGGCTGTGTAGTAGACTGTCTGTGAGGTGGGGCAAAAGCAGCTTTACAGTTGTTCCTATGGAAAATAATGCACTAATTAATAGATGACAGCACGAGAATAAACTGCTTCATGTACTCACAGCTGTAAACTGACTTTTGCCAAACCCTGTTTTTGGCATCCAATTAGAAGTTTGGTGAACTAGAATGAATAAAAGTTTTTCTTCTTGAATGATGTTTCCTTTTTTTTTTTTTTTTTTTTTTTTGGTAAATCTGACTCTGGGAGTCTTAGTACTAGGGGTAGGTTGGTTTGTCATCTTTCTTAGTTTGGACTCCAGATATTTGAATTTCGGGTGATACTCGTTCCGTGTGGTGGTGAGAACTGGCTGTGTGTCCATCTCTCAGAGAAGTCCATTCCTTTCATTCAGATGGCGGGGTTACTGGTTTTGCAGAGTTTGTTATAAACGATTTGTGTTGCTGGTTCAACAACTGACTTACAGGTTTAGTTCAATACAATACCATGCCCTGTATTGAGTACACAGTTTGTTAAAAGACTCGGCAAGAAAACAGTGGTGCCTGTTCAGCCCTTTATTTTTTAAAGATGATTTTGCTCTGACTTCTTGATTTGGAATGCGTTCGTTTGAGTTGTAAGAGGTTTATAAGGATGAAAGTTTCTTTACTTATCCCAGTTTACTGATTGATGTACTAGGACCTCAGAGCTTTGTTACCTCATTTCAGCTGATTCTAAATAGCTTTTAAGGTGTGCATGTTTTGATTATTTGCATAAATATTTCCCCTTCAGACAGAACCCTCAATTCACTTTGAGAAGCATCAGCTAGTTTAGAGGCCTGTTGTTTTTGTCGGTCATTTATTAACTATTTGAAACACTTAAGATATGAAAACAAAGTAGATATGTTGGAAATTAGCCTTAATAATAGATTGTTACTCTGTCAGCAAAATAGTATAATTTGGGAGCCATTCACTAGGTCACAACTGGGTCATGAATTATTTAAAAATTTAATGTTTCTTTGTATTCCCTGAAACACGGATTTGATAGCATATTATATATTATCTCCAGTCTATTGACATGTATTAAAACACATAATAGGTATGTATTTTTTCAATTTTATATGAAGTTGGCAATTTATTTTAATTGAAGTTATATTTGAAACCAGCTGTTGCTTAATTAGAATCAGTGGTCTTGAGAATTTTATAATGCTGGAGGTAACAGTGTTAGAAATTTAGTTGGGAGATTATTCAGAGTCTTGATTTCAAAACTTCTTTGGAACTTTGGAGCACAGCCCTTCAGCTGAGCTCACATGTTTACTTACCTTTATATTATTTTCATGTTTTACTTAATATTTTAGATGCATTATAAAACACCCAATAAAGAATTTTTATAGAGGATGAGATTAAAAGGAAAGTAAGTTGTATATTTTGTCCCAGGACCCCAGTGCATCCTGGAAACTGCTGGTTTAGGTCACATGTTATTGAAGTCCAAGTCCAAAGAGAGGACCCCATCCCTGTCTGTGAGGGCCAAGTGTGAAGCTGAGGTCTGAGGGATGCGGGTCGCCGTGCAGAAGCCGCACCACTGCGGGAGCGGGGAGGAGAGCCAGTGCCCTGCCCTTGTGCTCTGGGGTGCTCGGCGCAGGGAGCCGCTGCCTGGGCACACCAGGCTGGAAGGCTGGCCCGTGTTTCTGTGCGGGGGACCTCGGCTTTTTGTTGTTTGTTTTGGGCTTCAGGAAAAATAGGAGAATCTTCGAGTGACAGCAGAAGTCTCAGATTAGGAGTCATTCGTTCTATAGAGTGTTAGGCAGTACTGGCGAAAAACAAAAAGTAAATAAATAATTTTTCTTTAAAAAATTACTGTATTTAAAGTGTTTTTCAAGTACAGTTGACATTCAGTATTATATTAGTTTCAGGTATATAACACAGTGATGAGACATTCATATACCTTACAAAGGGATCCCCTCATGAGTCTAGTCACCTACCTGTCACCATGCATAGTTACCACAGTATTATTGACTGTATTCTCTAGGCCGTGCTCTACATTCCTGGGACGACTTTGTAGCTGCCAGTTTGTACTTTCTGACCCCCCTTCCCATTCATTTTTTCAACTGGCTTGGGGAACAGGAGCAGACTCACTGCTGTTCGCAGAGTGCACACTTCGTTGAGCAGGCTGGGCGTTGCCTGCCTCTAGCACCTGGAGGAAGTGAACTCCCGTGCGCCCGGCGTCTCCCTGGGGCTTGGTGGTCCTCCGGAAGGCAGAGTCCCACTAGTCAGCATTGCCCAGGAAGTCAGGCGGCTCCTGGAGTAAAGTGTGGCCATGCTGCCACTGCCAGGGGCTCTGTCCCTTGAGTTGGAGTAGATGGCTGTTCTTTGGTGGCCGCCACTCGCTCTGGTCGGCTTGTGTTCTGGAGCTGTGTTGTACACCACCGCGTTTCTGTAGGTCTGCGCACTTCGACCAGGCAGTGTCACTGCAGAGGCCTGTGGGAACCACACGTTCGTCTCACCGCGTGCGCAGTGCGTGTGCCTCGGTGGCCTGGGGCGACTCTGGCTGTCTTCATCTCTCATCCTCTCCCCTGCCCCCCAGTGAGGGGTATCACGTTGAATTCCTGGGAGAGAAGGGGAGACATCCCTTGACTCACACCTGTGTGGTAGTATCTGTGATCACTTGAGAAGGCCCAGCTTCGTTGTTGTGTATTTGCTGAGCGAGGGAAAGGGACATTGTGCCTGTTGGTGCCACCTTTCAGGGAGCGCCTGCTCTTTGCTAGACTAATGATAGAGTACTGGATATAATTATTTCTCAGCCTTGTAACAATATTCCAAGATTGGTAATATTTTATTTGACCGATGAGGGAGTATTGGTTAAAAGTGGTTAAATAAGCTCTGGCTGTTGTGGCTCAGTGGGTTGGGCGTTTCCTGCAAACAGAAAGGTCTTGTGTTCGATTCCTGATCAGGGCACATGTCTGCGTTGTGGGTTTGGTCCCTGGTCAGGGCACATGCAAGAGGCAACAGATGGATGTTTCTCTCTCACATCGGTGTTTCTCTTCCTTTCTTTCCCCCTCCCTTCCCTTCTCTGTAGGATCAATGAAAGAAAAAAAAGTGGTTAAATAATTTGGTCGAGGTAGCACACTTGATAGAGCCTGTCTTGGTCTGACCTTAGTTTGTGTGTTGCTTTTAATTCTTAAGAATATTTCTTCTATTATGTATTATCTGGGCTTTTAATCAAAGACCTGGAACTCTTAACTACATTGGTGTACTTGGCAAAACCATTCTGTGATTCAGTTTTGGACTAAAAAGAGCTAATATAGAATTCGTACTGTAGGTTCACATGTCACTATTTGGTGAAGCTGAAAGGCACCGAAAAGGGAGACTATCATAAGATAAGAGCGATCTTAGGGCCTACTGTTAACCTTTCTCACTCACTGGAATTGGTGAAATCTCCTTCCCTTCTTGAATGCAATTTAAGTAAATGCATCTGAAAATAAATCAACTTTAGATAACACTTTCTCCACCACACATGCCCTTCCCTCAGGTTCTGAAGATGATAAAGGACACAAGGGTGATGACAAAAGTGACTGTGGCCACAAACATTTGCAGAACGGCCGTTCTGGGGCGTAGCTGGGGCACTAGGGGGTCCTGGGTGTGAGCCATCCCTTGTCCTGCTTGGATTAGTCCTGCGAGGCGGGTTATGTGATCACCCTCATAGCAGAGGCAGGTTATGTGGGCTTGGGAGTCCAAGCCCACGGCCTGATTTTGCAGCCTGTGCGCTCTCCAGTTCTGTCCCGAAGAGTAACTTCAGCCGGACTTGCCCAGGGTCTTGCGGCTACTTAGTGATCTTTGTTTTCCGGAGTATTCGGCTTCTTTATTTATTTGCATTTTTAAATGTTATGCATAAACCTAAGGTATTGCTGCATGATGATTTTTTTAAAAAATAGCAAACACTTTTAGGGAAACACTTTTGATTCTTAATAATGAGTATTAATACATGGACTTTGGATAATGAAGAAAATATATTACAAGTAGAAATTTTGTACCTCTGGGTAACTGGAGGGGTAGGCTTGATTTTTTATATTCAGGTCAGGAGAGAATGTATTAAACAGCACATTTGTCAAAGAACCAGTTCTTACTTCATAATCAGTTTGGTATTCACATCTTCATTAGGTGAACTATTACAAGGTTTCTGCATTTTAAGTTAATATTTTTAAGGCCCAGAGCCAGAAATAATTATGCTAATGTAACTTTCTGATTGCACAAATGACTACTTCATAATTACACATATTAGTACTCCATGTGTGTTGTCGGGACTGAAATTTCTTTTGTTTAGTCATTAATTAGCTGTTTGACTTAAAATAGCGCTGCAGTCCGGGGCCTGCGCTCCTCCAAAGGCAGCAGCCCGCTAGCTGCGCAGCCCGCAGACGCTTTATGATGCAAATGTCCTCAAGTCTGCTCAGATCATTTCTTGTGTGCTACCGTTTTTGAACTATTAATTCTCTTTCTTTTGCTTGTTTCTTCTCTAATACCAAGTTTCT